GAAGTTTATCTGGATTCTACTTTGACTTTTTCTTATTCTTCTTATGGTAAAGGTTCGGAATTGATATTCTTGAGATTAGTCCAATATTTGTTAAGTTTTCAGTTTTTTGTTAACTTTTTATTCTTCAAGCATTCAATAGACAACGTCTTTGATGGTCAATAATTTTAGGCAAATTTGCATAAAACCTACTTGTAGTTTCACGAGATTGTGTCAAATCTCCAATATTTCTAAAACTCCATCAAATTCCCTTATGATTTCATAAAATCTGTATCTAATCCCCTCTGCTGACCTTATTTAACAATATTTGAGCTTCATGCGTCCAAATTGCGAATCAGTTTAGAATCTCATTTCCCGACCCTTGAAATTACAAATATACTCATTATTCTTAGATTTAATTTAAAAAAATAGTAAATATACTCATAAATAGTTATTTTTTGTACAATTTTAAAGTCTTTTTTTACTATTCTTTGAAGCTTAATATCAGAGGAATGAATATATTTGTAATTTTAGGGTTTAGAAATGAAGATTCCGAAATTCATTTCCATTTTGGGCACATATATGTCAAACACCGTTAAATAAGTGCGTCTGAGGGGTTAGATGCAGAGTTTATGAAACTCTAAGGGAATTTCACCTAGTTTTAAAAGTACAAGGGATTTGGTGCAATTTCGTGAAACCAAAAGTGGGATTTGTGCTGATTAGCCATAATTTTAGGATGAACGACTCTTACCTTAGGAATTTGTTTTGCATTCTTCCGAAAATTTTTCTTTTTTTTTTTCTCTTTCATGATTGAGTCCCATAAATTGTGAATCGATGAGACTTTTCGTTTGAGTCGAGAATCTCTATGTAGTCCAAATGTGATTGAAGTGGCGTTTGTTGTAGCATTGTCATATATTTCGTACTAAAATAGCTTGTAAATTATCCATATTATACCCATTTTAATCAAACTTATAGAAATAAACATTAAAAATGAACTACACAACTACGTACACCAATCAATCATATTTTCAAAAATTGAAAGAAATTCATAATTTTGAACTACACTACACTACTCATTTCTTATACAATCCGATTCCTCAATTTTTATACACGTATTCCTTTTTATGGACATTGAAGTAAATTCTTGCATTGGATTTTACAAATTTCCTATTTGACTCACTCGAATTTTGGGGTATAAATGAGCAGCTAAGCTCCATGGTTTTTCACAGATTCGAGCTATGACTTTGTAAAATATAACAAGTGTTTCGCAAAGTTGCATCCATACATCCCAAATGCTCCATAAGCATTACAAAAAAAATAGTATATTTGTAACGGAATTCCGTTCCTAAAGTTCACGTAGCTAACGTAATTTCATCTTTAATTCCGTCTCTAATATCATTAGTAACGGAAAAAGTGAATTTAGGAACGAAAAAATCTTGTTACAAAATTGATACTTTCTTGTAGTGAAAGAAATACCGGTTACATTACAAAAGGGATTTTGAAACAAAGCCTTTTTCCCAAATCCAAAGTACATATATTCCAATAATAATGTTGGGTTCTCACATCATAAATAAAAAAAATATATATTAATAATGTTATCAAAATATATATATATATATATAGTAACAATAAGAAAATCAATTTTGCTGAACTATAAATTTAAAATTAAGGGTATAAAGAAAGTTTTGGGATAGCTAATCATAACACTGAAAATTGTTAAAGCTTATTGCAAATAACAATGATACAACTATCATAAACGCTAATAATCAAGAAATGAAGATGACTCATATTGGATTCTTCATTTCTCTCTACGTGTTCATGCTTTCTTTTTGAACTCAGATACTTCTGTTTGTTGTGGATGCTGATATCTGAAGTCTAGATGAGGGATATGCCTTGGTTAAGTATACACTTTATAAATTAAGGGTGTCGTTTGACAATTAGCTGATAGTTTTAGCTGTTAGCTGATTCAATTAGCTGTTGTTATTAGCTGATTACTAGCTGATTCAATTAGCGTTGTATTAAAGTGTTTGGTAAAACAACTTTTTGACATTAGCTATTTATACATAAAAATTAAAGTGTTTGGTAAAACAACTTTTTGACATTAGCTATTTATACATAAAATGACGACATTGATATGTTATTTTTTATAATATTTAATTTTGTTCTTTGGTTTGAAATTTATGAGAATTTTTTTTATTAATTATTGAAAATTATAAAAATATTATAAAATATTTATTTTTATTTTTTATTGAAATTATGTAAAATATAAAATAATAAATCTTTTGTATATATATTTTTATTATGTTAATTATTGTTTTAATATATATAAATAAATTAATAACCTTTGTTTTTTCTATTTGATAGTTTTAAAAATTTATATATTTTACAAATAACATAATTTATATGTAATAATTAATAATAATAATAATTTTAAATTTAAAAAAATAAAAAATATAATTTAATAAATTAAATATATTAAAAAATAATTAATAAATAATGATATAAAAATATTTTTATATATATATAATAAATAATTAAGTGTTAAGAGTAAATAAGGGACTACCAAACACTACAAAAAAATAATATATTTGTAACGGAATTCCGTCCCTAAAGTTCACGTAGCTAACGTAATTCCGTTCCTAATTCCGTCTCTAATGTCATTAGTAACGGAAAAAGTAGATTTAGAGACAAAAAAGTTTTGTTACAAAAATGATTTTTTCTTGTAGTGAAAATTAAAAGGAAAAAGCTCTTTCAAAAAGCTGGATAAATAAGCTTTTCTAATTTACCAAACACCTAAATTAGTTTTTTTTTTTTTTTTTTTACTATTGAATAAGTTGAAAGCTCTTCAAAATTGTTTCCCAAACACCCTCTAAGTTATTGAACCCCTAAATCTGACCAACACAAAATAAAACCCAACTACCGAGAGAACTGCTTTGTAAATAATCATATAAAACAATATAATGGAAAATACAATGATCTGAGAAATGTTAACTGGAGACCCTTTGGAATCGCACTAGGACATAACAGCAAGCTGAAATTCAAATGTACAAATTGAACAAAGACAAAAAATTTCCAACATAAAATTAATATTGGCCGTTTTGGAAAAATATAGGATGTATATCACAACAATGAACCTCTTAATAGCTTAGATTTACAGGTGAAGCCGTCATTCATTTTTCTTCTCGCATTCTAAATCCTAAATCTTTGGCTTATGAAACAGCAAATATCCTGATAAGTCTAAGAATTTCCAGAAAGTGAACAACAGATAAATATGAGTTTGATCTACAAATCATAAATAAAATAAAAGAAAAAATACTTATAATCCACTTGTCATTTGAAAATTTTGTATTATTTTTCTTCCTTATACATGTTTATAAAAACATTGAACAAAATCCCTTTTTTGAGAGATTGTGCACAACTTTTGAAAACGCAAAATAATTTTATGTAATTTTTAGGAAATTTTGTGCAATAGTTTTTTAAATATAAATTGTCTCATGAAGATTTTAATTTATAAAATATAGGAGTGCAAAATTTTCAAACTACAAGTAATTATAAATAATTTTGCCTCAAATAAATCAAAAACTACTTAAGGAACAACCGGTAATGTCAATATGTATTTCTGTATTAACAAAGTGATATTCATGTGAACATATAAAAATATTTATTCAGATAGATACCAATGTCATACATTTATAAAACAAATACAATTGTAGCCTTCTTTTTTTCCTTGTTTAATACAACTCCACGTTGAACATCATTTATTCCTATAGAGATTCCACGTGCTTCTTTTGGTTGAGTTTGGAAAAAATTGATTTGAATTTGATATTAAAATAATATTTAATGGGAGGTTTTGTGAGAGAAAAAAAAAAAAGTATTTCTTTGGAAAACGGAAAATCCAAATAATAAAATTTGAAAAAATTGGCAAAAGAAACACATGATTTCTATCGAGCACTGAAAAATAAAGATAACGAAAGATAAGACTCGGTCCATTTCTAAAATGAAAATTAATTAAACTTCAATCTCTAAAAAAGGGAAGCTAATTAACATAACATGCACATGAATCAATGCAGCAAAAACAAAATGTCAAGTTTCTAAATGATACATTAGTGTTCCTTTCAAATCCGAAAATCCTCGTAATTTGCATGGCTTATCTTCCACCTAGCATGCTCAACTTGTATGAAGCTTTATTAAGATTTATAATCATCTCGATCGCTGTTTTGGTTAACAAATTCATAGAAACAAATCTAAATTTTTGGTCATGATTGACTGATGTAGAGTAAATCATTCTCCTTTTTTCCAAAGTGTTGGCCGGTCGAAAGGTGTGCCATTTAAGATGGAACAAAAATAGAACCAACCAACTCACTAAAGATATTCCACCATGCAGTTTTATGGTTCATCTATTGGACTAAAATATATACCAAGGGCGAGCGCATATATATTTTGTATCATTTTCCGCATTGCGATAATTTCACACCTTTCTTATATGTCCCCTATCCCACAGAGATGGAGATTCCAAAGTTTGGATTAGACAATTCAATCCATTCAAATAATCTACTTGAGAATCTCCAAGATAGAACATTTTCAAGTAGAAAGGAATTCTAATCATATGAAAATTATGGAAAGAATTCTACAACCAAGGGAAAATTATTTCAACCTAGTATCTTTATAAAGGAAGTCTATGACTAAATCCAATTGAATGAAATTATATCAAAAAATGCAATACTTAGATAAATATAGTTAACATCAATTACTCACATATTTTAATAGAATAAAACCATTAAAAAAAAATCTATACCTGATGAAACTTTTACCAGGCTATTAATATTCTTACCTTAATTATATCAAAAAATAATTAATGGAATAAAAATCATTCAAAAAATCTATACTTGATGACCAACTGTATTCAATATTAATTTTAGAAAACAAAAAGGGATCATACAAAACAAATTTAAACTGAATCTGAAGTTTAATCACAACTTTTTTTTTTTTTTAACCATGAGAGCTGAAATCCATAAAAAAAAAAATAATAATAAAATAAAAATCGATTATGATCAAAATATTTCCTTCAAAAATCCAATCAACACCATTAGAAATGTGTCTTGACTTAAACATTTTCCTACACTTAATAGATCACAAAGATGGACAAGAATCAGAAAAATAATGGATCAATCCATCAAATACCAACATCTCAATTCACATCCATTGAGTTGTCACCCAAAAACTGCAGCTCATGTAGATGGGGATGCGCTAGGTGAGGCGGGTTTGTTCTCAAGAATTTTATCAATGAGATCGGCAGCATCTTTGATGGTGGTTATGTTGTCTGAATTCTCTTCCTCCACTGTGATCTCGAAGGCTTCTTCCAGCCCCATCACTATTTCCACCTGTATTGTAATTTAAGCAAATACATATATATATTAATTGGATACATACATACATACATACATATATGAATTAATTAATGAGTACGTACAGTATCGAGGGAATCGGCGCCAAGCTCGGCAAAGGTTGAGTCGGGCGTGACTTGAACTTCAGGAGCTAAGGCCAATTGCTTCCTTACGATATCACTCACTTGCTTCACTGTCTCTGCATTTGCCTGTACATTCGTTTTTCGCACTGTTTTATATATTGCATATAAAAGTAGCAAGTGCTCTCTCTCTCTCTCTCAAAATATATATATCGATATATATATTAGCTCGTAGGACAAGTAAATTAGGATATGCCTACGGAAAACTTGTAAATTCAGGGTGCATTCTTCTCGTACTTTATTTCAAATTTTAAGTTTGAGTTTTAATTTATATACTATTTTAATTTGATATTTCAAAGGGAAAGTTCTACTAGCTTCCAGTAAGTTGACAGCATTAAAAGTCCCTAACCAATACCAACCAGTTACAAACTATCAAGAGGATCAACCAAGGGAGTAGTTTAAGAGTCATCTACCTTGTTGTCGTTTTCAAATGTTGATTTCTTAGATTGTTAGTGCTTAAAAGAACCTATAGAAAGCCCAAGAAGCTGGAGGGCAAAGATACCCTATGGTTATTTGGGAGAAAAATAAAGGTTCAAATTTGGCGGATGGGCGCGAAGGCTATTTGGAGCTGGCTTATATGATTGATATGAAGGTCAATCTATTGCCAATGCCTATCAATATTGTTTGGATACAATCGAACAAAAGACAAGCACTAGTCCCCATCCGTCACAGAAAAGAGATGAAAGCCACCTATGGTTTTAGAGAATCAAGACAACCTTTCAAGCCTCGAAGACAAAACTCAACTTGGGACTGATTGTCACCCTACAATGCACGGTAGTGGACATAAGTTTTCAGAAGAATGGAGACTTTTGGGCCGTGAGATCATTGGACCAAGTTGTTATTATTCCATGGCATACCCGACAGTTTTGAGAAAACAGTTTGGGATGGGAACAGTAGGTTTAACAAGGTGCAAGGGTACATGAAGCCAGTTTCATGATCCCAAAAGTGTCAGAAACAACGGAAACATTGAGCAGCAAGGATGAAGCAAGAAGCCAACTCTCAAGAAGGTCCAAATAATGATTTCTATTGTTTGTTTTTTAAGAAGAAGTCAGATCTAAGAGGGGAAGATCGACAAGCATCAATTTCCAACTCCTAAAGAGTGAAGGCCAAAGCAGAAGTACTTGAAATTTGGCCTTCCTATTGAATTTTCGTGCCATATTGATTTTTTTCAGCTATAATTGTTGGGATTATGATTAAAAGTTTAGTTGAATATATATGTTCCGTTAAAATGAATTCAAAATATCTATTTTAATATATACGGTGGTTAAGGTGCTAATTTGATTAAATCAATACGGCTCTGGTTTGAGCATATTATCACATTAACTCGAAACTATTAACATTTAATCACAAGTATAGCATATGACAAAGTTAGTATATTAATTTGAAACAATTAATCTTTCATTATAAGACAGATGACATATAACCAAGTTATACACTAATTTTTAAACAATTAGTATTTCATCAAAAGACAAATGGCATATTCTCCATTATATAGAAATATGTGTTCTGTGGGTTATATATTGTAGTCAAGTGCATATATTATACTAAATAAAATTTTATAATGTGCTATGATATGTATTGTATTAAAATTGATGAACTATATATTATGTTATGATGTATAATTTATGTATTGTGCTATATATAATTAAATAATGTGGAATCAAAATATTTGATATACTCTCTTAGTCCTTTAAGAAACTATCTATTTTTTTTTTATTTTGTTATGTCCCATAACAAAGTATATATTTTTTTTAGTAACTTACTATCTACTAACATTACAAATATTCTTACAATTAATATTACATAAATATCATTACTTTTATATTACACAATATTAATAATATTATTTTAGTCATTTTTACTTTATTTTTATTACATATCAATATAATATTAGTATACCTTAAACTCCGTGGAAAAAACAAACATATATTTACTTAAGGGACGGAGGGAGTATATATATTAATATATATTAATTGTTTTTTTTTATAAACATGTGCGCTAATTAGGTTAAATTAACATCATATTGATTTTGACTCAATCAATAACTAAAGTGTTTAATATAGGAACAAATTTATTTAGATAAAACATATTCCATCCGTCCACCAACCACAAGGGCACCAAAACCAAACACATTCTATTTCATATAAATAATAACAAAAAAACTATGGCATTTCAATTATACTTCCCCCTTTCCTTAAATAAGTATTTATTTATTTTTTACACGTAATTTTTTTAATATTAAAATAATATTAAAGTACTCCCTCCGTCTCGGATATTGTGTCCGTTTTACTGTAGACACGATAATTTAGGAGGAATATAATTAGTAAATAATAAAAAATGTATTAATAAAAATAATTATCGTATAATAAAAATAATTATAGATTAATATTAAGATAACTAATTAGTATAATTAAAATTAAAAAATTATCAATTAAATTTTTAAAAATAAGAATAAAGTGTATAATTCTTTTAAAAAAAAGTGACAAAAAAAGTGAGATATACCGAAATAGAAATGTGGACATGAGAAGTGGAACGGAGAGAGTACAACAAAAAAGAAAAAAAAAATTATTAGTATTGTATGATATAAAGGTAATGACATTTGTATAATTATAATAATATTTTTAATGTTAAGTATATAACAAATTAATAAAAACTAAAATTGATATTTTGTTATGAAACAGAGCAAAACATAAACAAAAAAAAAAAACAAACAAAATTAATAATTTGTTAAATAACAAAGAGAATATAAATTTTACCAAGGCATTTTTTAGAATATAAAACTGAAATCATTTATTAATCATAAGAATACGTTCATATTTATAGTGATAAACAAATTATTTAAATAAAGCAAGAATCCTATCAAGACAATTATCATAAATATATATAATATATTGCTTCTAAGTATATTTTAACACTCTTCTTCAAACTCAAGATATGATCGAACAAACTTGAGTTTGCACCGAAAAAGATATAGCCGAGATCTTCCACGTACGAATTTGAATTCGCCAAAATTGAAAGTGGTAGTCATCCACTGGATCAACAGAAGTCTCAATACCGTTAGAGTTGAAAATAGGATTCGCTCACTCTTAGAGCTAGAGTCGAAAACCGGACTCGCTCGCTCACAACAGAGCCAAAGTTGGAAACAGGATTCCCTCGCTCTCGATAGATTAAGAATCGAAAACAAGACTCTCGATGGCGTTAGAATCGAAAGTAGACTATGTCAGTGGAGTAGTAGAGACGGAGATGACATGAAAATAACAACATGACATTGAATAAAATCAAATACATCAACAAAATACATATGAGATATAACGGATCATAAATGTATCAGGCGATAATTTGGGTATAATAATAAAATAAAATAATATATTTATATTTGAAAATATAAGTTTCATAATAATTCAATGATGAGTCACGAGAGCATGCATGGCGGACTTACATCACAGATTTGGAAGTGCAATCTTCTGAATCTGATACAAGGGAAACCACTCCTTCCTTGTCGCATCATCTGCACATATGCATAAGTGATTAATAAAAGTAACAGAGAATAAATGATGACGGCGGTTAATGTGCTATCAGAGTCAAATCAGCATCGTGTTAATACGATCAAGTTAACACAGTAACATGAAGTTATTATACTGTTTTAAAGCAATTAACATTTCATCGTAAGAAAGTTAATATATTTTGTATTATACTCCCTCCGTCCAGATACCGTGTTTGCTACACTGTAAACATGGTATTTTAGGAGGGGTGTAATTAGTAGATAATTAAGAATGTATTACTGAAAATAATTATCCTATAATATAAATAATTATAAATTAAGATTAAGATAACTAAGTAGTTTAATTAAAATTAAAAAAAAAAATTAAAAAATTTAAAATGAGATTAAAGTGTGTAATTATTTTCCTAAAAAGGAAAATGACATGGTATGTGGGACGGACAGAAACGGCAACGTGGACATGGTATCTGGGACGGAGGGAGTATAAAAATATGTATTGTCTGAGTTATATATTGAGTTGAAATTAACATATATTATGCTATATAAAATTATATAATATGTTATGTTATATATTATATTAATATTTATTGTATGAATTATATATTGTATTGTATTGTATAATATATTTATTGTTTTATGGTACTCAAATCAAAATATATTATGTCAAATGTAATTATATAATGTGTTATATATTATATTAATATTTGCTATTTTTTTTATAAATATGTGTTGATTAGTACTGATTTGATCCAATAAATACATTAAGGAAACCATATATTATATCTATTTTAGTTTAAATATATATGCAACTTTCATGTCACATTTATAGTGTAACATAATTATTTTATATTAAATAAATTTAATACATATGAAATTTACATTTATATACAGATCTCTCGTAGAATAATAAAGCTTTTTTACATTTACAATAGGTTATTAACTAAAATTTATATAAAATAGTTATGTTCATTCATTTATATAAAAATATATGTCATACATATATATTCATTATCCTAGAGATATCAAATATAATTTACAATGGTGAAAGGTATTGTATGATACTGAATTTTAAAATTTAGTATTGTTTTTATATTAATATAAATACAATTAATAAATTGAAAACACATAACATACTTACATATAAATCACACATTATAAGTATGACTTGATAGAACATGTGCAGTGTCAAAAAAAGAAGCAATATGTTACTTTATATTTTGTTTGTACTCATTGAAAAAATCAACATGGTAATCGAAGCAATTTGCAATAATTAATTCGTCACACAAATCACCTCGCTAAGTTTTACTATAGAGGAATACTTAACTAATGGATACTATAATGTACATATTGTTATAGTGTGGATTTTAAAACGGTACACTTAAATTTATTATTCAAAAATATAAAAAACAAAGCAGCTAGTAAATCATCTTATTCAATATATATATTTTTTTAATTTTCTTTTCGAATATGCAGTGAGTAAAAATCCTCGATTAAACATATTAGCTAAGAAACTACACCAAGAGGCAAGACCAATAGGATGTCGATGAATTTGAATCCATAACCTTGTGGTAACAGATGCACCCATTACATTAATTACGCGGACGCTTACACTAAAATAGTTTGGTAATTTTTTTTTTTAACCTCTCATTTGTGTGTTACTCCCTCCGTCTCACATATTATGTCCACATTGCCGTTTCTGTCCGTCTCACATTTCATGTCACTTTTTTTCTTTTAACACTTTAATCTCATTTTAAACTTTTTTAATTTACTTTTTTTTTTTATTTTAATTAAACTAATCGGTTATCTTGACCTTAATCTATAATTATTTATATTACTAATATATTTTTAATTATCTATTAATTATATTTATGCTAAATTTTCGTATCTACAGTGACCCATGCGGAACGGAGAGAGTATTATTTAGCCTTATTACGCTAAAATAGTGAACATACATACATACCGGGAGGTGGTTGTTGAGACGAGTAGCAGAAGCAGTAGCAGTTGCAAATGGAACAGCGCAATGAGGATGGTGAAGTGAAGCAGCAGCAGTAGCCATTGAATTATATGTGTATCTGTATACACAGACAGACACAGATACAGAGACAAAGACAAAGACAGGCAAAGGCAAAGGCAAATTAAATTTAGGAACAGCAGTCAGGCACAATGGAAGAAGTGGTTTGTTTATAAAGATTACTTAGCAGCAATAGCAGCCGTACATTTATATATATGTATATATATATATATATGTGTGAATTTGTTTTGAGTGGTCTCCAATCCACGATCTATCCATCTATCTGCCCAACCCTATCCTATCCATTCTTATTTTCTATTCTATTATATATATATATATATATATATATCTATGGGGCTTCTCATTTATTCCGTCTGAGGTATCGTGTTCCCTTTTTCATCCCTTCGGATATCTCTCTAAGTGATCCCTCAACTATATATCGCCAGTAAGTTGGAACTAAATTAGGATATGTTTGTTTTTTTTATTGGGTCAGAATTTCAATTTGTATTCTATTTTCATATATATATATATATATATATTTATCTCCAATATTTTTAAAGAAGTAGCAATTTACTTACAATTTTCTATTTTTATTTTTGTTAAATAAATAAATATATTCATCTATATTTAGAATTTTATATTTTTTATAAAACAAATTTATACTGATTATATAGTCGTTTCCTCCGTGTTTTAAAGTTATATTTACCTTTTATATCATTATAATTAACATTAAAAATATCGTTATATTTGTATAAATTCTTTACACGTATGGTTATTTTTCTATAATTTGTACTATGTTTTAATATAATAATTAATATTTAAATATAAACAAAAGATAAAATAAATATGGTGGTTAGAGTCAGACGGAGATAGCATGTATATATACCTTTTTCAATTCAATAACAGTTGATATGTTTTTATTTTTATACTTAAAAAAAAATAATATATTTGTAACGGAATTTCGTTCCTAAAGTTCATGTAGCTAACGTTAATTTCATTCTTAATTCCGCCTTTAATGTCATTAGTAACGGAAAAAGTAGATTTAGAGAAAAAAAAAAAGTTTTGTTACAAAAATGATTTTTTGTTATAATGTTAATAGATTTATTAATTTTAAATATAATTAACAAATATAAATAATTGATAATTCTCAACATTTTACACTACTCATTCAAAATCTCTCTGTTTTTATATATCTTGTAAATTAAATAAATATTTCTATCTATATTTAAACTCTTAATTTTTATCAAATTAGTTTATATTAAATATAAATAACTAAATATATATTTTTAATTTATATAAAATTTTGTTCTTTACAAAGTGATACTATCTTTTATTGAGATATACTAAAATTATTTAAACACATATTCTAAATTTCTTTAATTATTTATATCAATTCTTGTTTTTAAAATACCAACAATATTACTTATATAAAAAATTAATATAATAATTTATTAAAATTCACTATCACAAATATTGTCACTAACCAAATACATCAAGTATTCACTACAAAAAAATATATCAATTTTGTAACAATTTTTTTTTTTTTTGTCTGTAAATCCCCCTTTTCAGTTACTAAAGACATTAGAGACGAAATTAAAGAGGAAATTGCGTTAACTACACACACTTTAGGAACGAAATTCCGTTACTAATATACTATTTTTTTGTAGTGATTCCGGAGGAAAGGAAATATTTATGTAATTGATTTATATATAATTGTAATTTCTTAAAAAAATATATTTATATTTAATATATTATTGACGTATAATTTTTAAACACTTCAATATCACTACAAAAAAATAATATATTTGTAACGGAATTCCGTCCCTAAAGTTCACGTAGCTAACGTAATTCCATTCCTATTTCCGTCTCTAATGTCATTAGTAACGGAAAAAATAGATTTAGAGACAAAAAAATTTTGTTACAAAAATGATTTTTTCTTGTAGTGATATTTATATTTATTTAATTTATTTTAATCAAATATATGTTATATCATAATCTTACGAAAAATGATCTAACTTTTTTGGAACTTCGAAGGCAAATGATCTAACTTTTCTGGAACTTCGAAGGCAAAATGTCCGCCAAAATTTTTAATATTCAATGAAAAATTGAATAAATAATACATTTAAACAAAATAAATAATAATAATAATAAAAAACCTTATGCAAAAGTTTGATATTATAAATCCAAAATATTAAGAGTAGACAATATATGTCTTTGATGCACTACAAAAAAATAATATATTTGTAACGGAATTCCGTCCCTAAAGTTCACGTAGTTAACGTAATTCCATTACTAATTCCGTCTCTAATGTCATTAGTAACGGAAAAAGTAGATTTAGAGACAAAAAAGTTTTGTTACAAAAATAATTTTTTCTTGTAGTGATGTACTATATTTTGAAATAATCGCGTAATGACCTCGTTTTCAATTTTCACAAATATATATATATATAAATGTATATATATCTTAAGGTAACATAACAAAATGGTCTATCAAAAATTAATATCCTATCTCCTAGATATAAAATAATTAATCTCCTATTTTGTTGCACGAATCATTCTTATTAGAATTTAGGATAAAATTACGAAATTGTATTATATAAAAAATAAAAGTTTACAAGATATATATAGTAGTGGAATCGGATCTAAACTCAAAAAATAATATCAAAAAAATTATCTAAATCTAACATAATAATATCAAAGAAATATCTAAATCTAACATCCCTTCAAACTCAAGATGGGGCAGTTAAAGACCAACTTGAGTTTGTCCAAGAGTAATCGGAAACGACCTGAAATAAGAGACATGGTGAAGATATCTGCTATCTGATCTGCAAAAGATATTAGAACGAGATGAACTCACCCATTGACAACATGTTGTCGAATGATGTGACAGTCAAACTCAATATGCTTGGTGCGCTCATGTAAGGTATCATTATGGGTCATCTTCATAGCACTCTGACTATCGCAGTGAAAAACCGTAGAAGATGGCTAAGGGGCACCAAGATCAGTGAGTAGTCGACGAAGTCATAAAAGTTCTGAAGTATAGTCAACAAGAGCACGATACTCTGACTCGGCACTCGAGCAAGAAACCAAAGTCTGCTTCTTGCTGCGCCAAGAGATGATAGAATCACCTAGGAAGAAGCAAAAACCAGTGGTCGAACGATGATCGGTGGGATCACCAGCCCAATCAACATCAGAGTAACCGCTGAGAGTCAAAGATGAGTGAGAGGAGACGTGTAAGCCATGCAAAAGAGTAACCTTCACATAACGAAGAATATGTAAGACAACAGAGTGGTGAGAGATCCTCGGAGCGGCCATGAACTGACTCACAATATGGAGTGCATGAGCGATATCTAGTCGAGTGACAGTCAAATAGATCAAGCTCCCAACAAGTTGACGATAAAGGGTGGGGTAATTCGAACGTCGTAGGCAAGTGCTGTAGAGGCTACTTGACAGTCTGTGAGACCAACTCGAGCAAGAAGATCGGAGACATATTTAACCTGAGACAGAAAGAAACCATCAGGAGAATCTGAAACTTCAAGCCCTAAGAACTAACGAAGGGGGCGCAAGCTCTTCATCTTAAACTGCTGGCTAAGATATACCTGTAGATCATAAATAGTAAACGCATCATCTCCCGTGATAATCATATCATCAACATAAAGTAAGAGTATTACATTGATTCAACGTTCTTGTCCATACACCTCTCAATAAAATGGTCTCGCTGAGCGCAAATATCGTCACATTTTTAGATACTTTTTGTGTGTTCCTTTTGTTTGACTCTTGTCCTGATAGGTTCTAGGGGAAGTTGCCCTCACCGCTGTCTATACCATAAATTTTATTCCATCATCTATCATTCATAATAGTACCCCTTTCGAGTGTCTCTATGGTCAGCCACCCGATTATAGTACCCTTTGTTCCTTCAGTTGTGTCGGTTTTGTCATTATCTTTCCAAATGAACGTTTCGTGCATGTGTATATTATGTTCTTGGTTATGAAGTAGAGCATAAAATTTATAGGCTTTGGGATCCGATTTCTAAACGGTTGTGTATATTTCGTCATGTTACCTTTCGGGAGAGTGTCATGTTTTCCACCCTATCTAAGTTTCATATGCCATATATTCCTGGTTCACCTTTCTTCTTATCGGCATAACCTCTCTTGTTTCTTGATCTTGATCGTACGGCTCCATCACTGCCTCTGGATCCTGTTCCAATTGAGGCTTCTGATCCACCTTCAGTTGAGACTTCTGATCCACCTCCGACGTTGTCTCCAGATGTTGATCGGTCTACGGTCCCTGGACCTATCATACCTCGTCGATCACATCGAGTAAGTCACCATCCTACTCAATTGTGTGATTATCATTGTTACTCTACCATATTATCTCATCATATGCCTAAGTCATTTCGTGAGGCGAGTACTGATCCATTGTGGCAGCAAGCTATAACTGAGGAATTGAAGGCTCTAGCAAAGACTCCCACTTGGGATTTAGTAGACTTGCCTTCTGGAAAGACACCTATTGGGTGCTAGCGGGTTTTCAAAATCAAGACTAATTCTAATGGTTCCATTGAGTGTTACAAAGCTCATCTGGTTGCCAAAGTTTATTCCCATGAGTATGGAGTTGACTATGAGGAGACTTTTGCTCCCCTTACTTGTCTCCCTACTTTTTGTTGTCTTCTTTCCATTGTTGTTGTTTGTTAGTGATCTCTTCTTTAGTTAGATGTCAAGAATGCATTCTTACATGACATACTTTCTGAAGAAATTTATATGACTCCCCCTCCAAGTTTCTCATCTTCAAGAAAGGTTTGTCGCTTAAGTCATAATTTATATAGGTCAAAGTAGGCCCTCGGGCTTGGTATGCCACATTTAGTGCTGCACTATTGGAGTTTGGTTTTACCACATGCGGTTAAGACTCTGGCCGATTTCTTTGTTGTACTTCATTTGGAATAGTTATACTCTTGCTTTATGTTAATGATATGATTATTACGAGAGATGATACATTTGGAATTTATGATCTACAAGCATATCTTAGCCAACGGTTTGATATTAAGAGCTTGGGTCCCTTTCGTTACTTTTTGGGGCTTAAAGTCTTTGATTCTTCCGATGGTTTCTTTCTATATCAGGCTAAGTATGTCTCCGATCTTTTTGCTCGAGCTGGTATCACAGGCTGTCAGGTAGCCTATACACCAATTGCCTACGACATTTGAGTTACTCCTGATGATGGCTCTCTTCTTGATGACGCTACCCTCTATCGTCAACTTATTGAGAGCTTGATCTATTTGACTATCACTCGATGAGATATCGCTCATGCAGTCCTCCGAAGACCTCTCACCAGTCTGCCGTCTTACATATTTTTCCTTATGTGAAAGGTACTCTTCTGCATGGCTTACATTTCTCCTCTCATTCATCTTTAACTCTCAGCGGTTACTCAGATGCTGATTAGGCTGGTGATCCCACCGATCGTCGTCCGACCCCTAGTTTATGCTTCTCTTGGTGATTCTCTCATCTCTTGGCGCAACAAAAGGTAGACTTTGGTTTCTCGCTCGAGTGCCGAATCAGAGTATCGTGCTCTTGCTTACTCTACTTCAAAACTTTTATGGCTTCGTCGACTACTCACTGATCTTGGTGTCCCTCAACCATCTTCTATGGCTCTTCACTGCGATAGTTAGAGTGCTATGAAGATGACCCATAATGATACCTTCCACGAGCGCACCAAGCATATTGACTTGATTGTCACTTCATTCGACAACATGCTTTCGATGAGAGAGTTCATCTCGTTCCAGTATTCTCTACAGATCAGACATCAGATTTCTTCAGCAGGTCTCTTCTTTAAGGCCGTTTTCGATTACTCTTGGACAAACTCAAGTTGGTCTCTATTGCTCCATCTTGAGTTTAAGGGGATGTTAGATTTAGATATTTATTTGATATTATTATTTGAGTTTAAGGGGATATTTGTTTGATATTATTTTGTGAGTTTAGATCTGAGTCCACTACTATATATATCTTGTAAACTTTTATATTTGACAAAAAAATGATTTCATAATTTTCCCCAATTTCTAACAAAAGTGTGTGACCAAGATTTCGGATGAGCACTCTGATATCAAGGTCATTTATAAAAATATGGTGCATCTCTTGCCATAGGGCTTCTATGCCCTCCAGGCGTAGTCCCAAATTTTATGATGCAACATTGGTGCAAAGAAGGTCAGTACAGTTTGAGTGAATACTATCGAGCTAGAAAGATTGTTCAACCGCACTATAAAGCCTGCTTATAGCCTAAAGTCCGAACGGCCAGCAGCCTCAGAATTGTGCAAGTCACGCTAATTCTTATGAAAAATATTTGATTTTGTTTAGGAATTCCATCCTTCCTATATTTTTAAGGGTATTTTGCTATCCCAAAATATTTTGTGATAGAAATCGATTCGGCACAAATTAGGGTTGCAATATGAGCCCAATAAGAAGTAAAAGGAAGCAGTCTGGCTCGAAGCATGAGTGTATTGGTGACCTTGACATGAGTACGAAGGGAGAGTCGTTGGATGGTATTTGACTAGCAATAAAAGGGAACGGTCAGGTGAAAAGAAGCGGATCACCTTCCAGAACTTCAGTTCTTTTTTTTTTTTTTTGTTATGTTGTTGTTGTATTATTTTAATTAAATTTTTATTGCTTCTTTGTTGCTTTTCTCTTTTGGAAATTTCCTTTCAATACTTTTTATCAAATTTTTATTTTTCCAGCAATGTGATCTTTCTCCTTTTCATTCCAGCATACTTTATGTTCTTGATTTCTATTCCTAGTTCCTATTTCCAATATTCACTCAAATGTATTTGGTTCTCTCTCCGATCAATTCAGTTTAGTTTTCTTTCTGTTTGTTCGAAACAGTTCGAGATTCTTTCTTGAGGAAACCGGAGAACCTACTGAATTTCGACCGACTTGGTTCGATAAGTGATCGAAATATTATTTTGAGCAATAATCCAAGCAAATCTTGCGTCCAATAAGCAATCATACGTTGATAAGTGATTGGTAATTAATTTGAGTTCGAACATAATAAATTGGAAATGCATGCCTACTTGCTTGTGTTGGGTTACTTACACACTGCTTTTTAATGCTCGATTTCTATGGTTCTCATATGTTTATGTATAATTGTTGTTGGTGGATGGTTCAGAAATACTTTGGTAATGATTAATAAGGACAAAACAATGGCTGTTGGGAATCTTAATTATATATTAATATTGTTTGGTGATCAACAATAAGTTCATCCTTACTGCGACTATATTTTTGCATGGTTTCGACTGACTTTTTATCAAATTTGATTTGATTTTTACTTTTGTTTTTGTCAGGACTAAGAGAAATCGTAGATTATTGCCAAATAATTAAGATTATTGCTTCTATATAGGCATGCTCATGCCTATAAAAAGTTTGGATAAATCAAGACTTTAAATGATAAAATTGAAATTTTGCACAAAGAAAATTGTAAAACAAAAATAAAAAATAAAATAAAATAAAATAACGAAGAAAAAGTATGAAACTTGCGGACGGCCGAGGGATATTAGGAGAAATGCATATTAGTTCTTCGAGCTGCAATATTTGTTGGATAGGGGTGTTTGAGTTGTTGGGACAAACAATGTGCTATTTTTCTTTTATTTTTAGATGTAGTTATATAGTTATTTAGTAGATAATTCGGATAACAATATACTTAAAATTTTCCGGTTATAAGTAGTTAATTATGTCTATTACTATATTATTGATTTCTTTCACACATTATGCAATGGGATGCTCTTATCCTTTGTGACATTTGGGGCACAGGTTAAACCAATTTTGTTTCTTATAAATCAATCTTGTTGATGGTTAAAGCATATTGTGTTGTTTGTTTATTAACCATTGATTTAAATTCTAGTATAACTCTCATTGTAGTTGGTTTATTGCCCTTGATTGCGTCCCCGTAGTTGGAAATGGACGAGCATGCTCGTCCATGGTAATGTTCCTGATTGCTCATTTTGATTTAGTGTTAATTGTACTGTATTTGATGATCTAGTGTATTATTAATTAAATCGGGGATTGATTGATTGATTTAGTTGTTTGGTGCGTGTTTGGCGCAATTTGTTATAAGACTACTTATAGTAGTTATAAGATACTTTAATTATTTTTGAGATAGTATTGGATGCTATGTCATAGAATATTGTATGTTCGACTCCACTTTGTATGATTGATTAAGAATTTTTATATTTTTAAAGAAAAAAGGACTTTTAATTTTTTTAATCACGAATTAGGTTCGGTAACAAATATAGTAGAAATTATCATATTCTTTTTTATCTTAACGAAAAGTTTATTTTGTAGACAAAAGACATTTGTATCGTATTTTCTCTTGCAATAAATATATTTTTGCATTTTTTATTGAGTTAATTAGGATAATCAACATTGTATTGACCCACCTAAGGAGCCCCTGACATTTCCCCTAAAATAGTGATAAACGACATACATATGTACGTATATATATATATATATTAACATTTAAAAACTGAATAAACGAAAATAAAAAGTGAATATTTATTTTTTTTAACCATTTTTTTTTTAAATCATAAATTAAAAAGAAAATTAAAATATTTTAACATTTTCTATTTTAAGAAATTTCATGCATGGTATAAATATTGAAATACAATATATATTAACATCCAAAAAAGATACTACTAATTAAGCAAATTCAAATAAGAAAAAAATGAATATTTCCATTTGAATAAATTTGATGGTCTTATTTGAATCAATTAATAATCAAATATAGATATAGAACGTTACTATTCGATGATTTGATTATAATATGGAATATGTAATACCCATATACTCAATTATCTACATAAATAATATTATGCTATATATTTTAATAAAAATTTTAAATTAAATTTATTTTTATCATTGTACTCTAAAATGCTTACATCAATAATATAATAAAATAATTAGTTTTAAAATAAAAAATAATATGCTTAAATAATAAACCCAAAAGCAATAGGAATTTCAAATTATTGTCAATGCTTCAACTGTAGATGAAATAGATAATTTTGATTCAATACTTAAATTCATATTAATTGTTTTTTTTTCAAATTTAATATATATAACGCAATTATAAATTAAAGTACAAATAGAAAATGTTTAATATTTGAACCATTGGTATTCCAAGGTACATGTCCATTGCTAATTACGCAGGCGATAGTGAGAGATTTGGCAATACGTACAGTGTCTTTCATGCCCCCTTAGTATTATCACATAGGCCTGCAACACAAAAAACAAACCCATTCTATAAAATACACAGACATACTTTCCAAGGCATTATTTACAATGTTAATTACCTCTTTGTGTGTATATATATCACAAATTAAATTAATCCAGGCCACTCAGAAATTAATACAGAGTTAATTAGAATGGCAAGTTCTTGTGTCCTAGGGAGTGTGGTTGTTCTAAGAATTATAAGTGTGCTGACCCTCACTGCTTCTGTTCTGGTAATGGGCCTCAACAACTTCACCCAACTCGGGATCAAGGTTAAATTCACTGATATTATAGCCTTCAGGTATGTTTTTGCTTGCGGCCTCGCCGGGGCCGCATACAATTTAATTCAGCTACCGTTTGCTCTCTACAATGCCGCTAAAGATAAGAGAATGATTCGAAACGGTTGCCTTCAAGAATTCGACTTCTATGGCGACAAGGTATATATATGTACAAAGGAATATGCATTCTAACTCGATTCAATTCGTTATTCATGTAATTAAATAAATATGAACGGGTTAGGAAACCGGTAATTAAATGGCCAATGGATAGTATATTGATAAGTTATAATCAGCAGATATTATGTACTTCATCATCGTTTTTTGCATGCTGTTGGTTAAGGCTTATCAGTATAGTACTTATAAGCGCTAATCAACACATATCAAATAGATATGCAACATATATATATGGTTTCAAATTTCACACTATATAGTGTCTTGTTATTATATATATCTTATATATTAATTTTAATAATAGCACGTGCGATGTAAACTATTTTCATGTACCGTCAATTCATGTAATATAGCTATACTATATTTACAAATCTTATATTATTGATTTATATGTTATACTTGTCTGTCAATATTTAAAGTGTCAATACATAAAAACATACATACGGATGTTACTATGTTTACTGGCCAATCAATACTTATGTAATATAGTTGGTTCTTATTTACCTATATATATTTGAAAAATTTTATCCTATTTATTTACATAATTTTTTTTTTTCACACATATCAAATTAAAAAGATTTTTTTCACAAAATATCGTATCGAATATTTACTTTTTATAATATTCACTTTTTTTCAAAATACGAAAACTCTTTGTCTAAACGGAATCTTAATATTTGTAGGTGTATTGTATTAATATACTACCATTGTTCTAGTCGAATGTATCTCTTTGAAGTTTTATAGTAGATTAGAAATAATATTATTTTATTGATTAATAGAAGTGTGTAAGAGATTTCGATATTTTTGTAATTTGTAAGTAAAAAGTGAATGATATTTTGGTATTAAGTTAGAATTAGTTTTACTAAAATAGTAAGCACGTACTTTTGTTTCTGAGTTAAACATAAAAAAATATAGTAAAAATAATAGTTTGAAATGAAATAAACATGTGTAAATGTATTCTTGTATGTTATCTAGGACTCTATATGTGTGGTGCTCATTACAGTAAATTAGTTAATTAATTGCATGCATGCATGCAGGTGATATGTTTCCTAGTTGCGAGTGGGGTTGGTGCCGGGTTCGCGATGAGCTGTGAGCTGAAGAGAGGATCTGACGACTTAAATGATAAAGGGAAGACATTCTTGGACAGAGGGCTTATCTCAAGCGGCCTTCTTCTTGGGGGGTTTCTCGCCATGGCTCTCCTCACCATCTTCTCATCCAACCGCCACACTTCCGCTAAGACCAGGGCATTCTTCCAAAACTAATTCATACTAAGAATAATAACTAATTATTTATTCTCTATTATTTAGTTCCTCATTCAAAGGCCCAAGATATATAATAATAGTAATGGAATAAGATGTTATTTGCTTTTCGTCATCATCTGTTGTTTGTGTTGAATAAATTGATTTAAATAAGAAGAAAAAAATTATTCAAAAATTTTCGAAATTGATTTTACAGTTAGTAGAAATTTATTGGATTGTATATGTTAGATTGAAATTTTCTAAATTATTTGGACCTGAAATTTATTAAAATCATCTGTTAAGTTATAATACGGACAAAATTAAGTTAATTAATTGTAATTAACTTGAGTCTGGTGACATCAATCGCACATTTGTTAAACACATCATTAATGATATATATAAATTTTATTACCGTTTGTTAAGGTAGCAAGAAATGTGGCAGGGTGAGAGCTTTGAATAATAGTTTCTCTCTCTAGACTACACTCTCAAACACACTCACAACCATTCTTTTAGTCTGTCCGGGTTGTATATAGAACTTCTAAAGAATGATTTGAAAAACCTCTTATTAATTTTTCTTCTCACTGAAATAGAGTGATGTGTGTCACATTTTGACTTTCCATAAAACCTCTAATTTGTCTCTTGTGTGAGCTTGAAGGAAGAGACGAATAAAATAGAGACAAACAAACCAGTTCTACTGTGCAATTGCAATTAAAGTTTGTCTACAACATTTTTATTCGTAATGAAATGAACAAACAACTGCATGAAATGATGAAATTGTCCATATACTAAAATAAATAAAGGGGTATATTTTTTTCATTCACATTCTTTGCCTTTTTGCCATATGAAACTTTTAAAAAAAATATAATAAAGTACAGGAATTAATCCACTCACGCACCCAATCATCCAAAATAGCAATTCAAGAGTGAGTCTAATTATTACATGCCAAAAGCAATAAAAGACTATAGGCAGACTTCACAAAATGATACGTTGGTTGTAATTACTATACACTTAGCATCAACAGATAAAATAATCAATCAGCAAAACAACATCGAACTAAACTTGAGCAACTCTCCCTAGAAAAATGATCTATCTTTTTTTGTATTACTCTCCCTTTGTGGGAGCAGATGAAAAAAGAAAAAACAATCTTTAGGAGGATTTTTCAACCTCACCGGCCATACCAACAAGGTCTTTCAGAAGAAAGTTCAGCCACGTGCTCATCGATTACAACACTTAAGCTCTCATTAGAAGCAATTAAATTCAAATCAATTTTCTTCCATTCAAGTTTATTTTGTTTGATTGGTCTATCCATCAACATGAACAATAGGGATGGATTGTTCATTAAAATCACCTTGAACTCCATCATCAATTCATACAAGTTCAACACTAGTTTCCACGATCTCCTTCTCAAAAACATATTATGCTTCATTCAATTTGTTGAGAAATTGTTGCGGCAGCAACCTTACAGCATCACTACTAGTTCTCTGTTTCTCTCTAGTAGAACGATTATCAGTATAAATTTTAGTTTCGTCACAAAAAATTTTAGTTGTCCTCTTCGTAGGAATTTCTTCTCCTTTCGTTCGTTGGAAAATAGTTGTAGTAGCAACATTCACATCAATATTGGCAACAATACCAACATGAACAACAATGGCAACTTTAGTTGATTTGGCATTTGCTTGAGCAAGAACATCATCGGGCGATTGTTTTTTACATCATCAACAACACCAACATCTTCTTGTTGTTTCTGAGTGAGTTCCTCTTTTGGTGGAAGCAACAAACATAATATTGTGTAATGATCACATGACTTGGATATTTCCAAGATTTGTTGCAGGACTAAAATGCTTTGAACATTGAGTTGATTCACGGTCACGGCCATGACAACCACCACAATCACTGAATCTACCACTGAATCTTCAACCAAAACTAGTTCTCGCCATTTTTCATCCAATAGGTGTGTGAATGACTTTCAGAGAGGATAACAAAAACGTGCGACCGTATTCCTCAACACAAAAAAATATATAAGCATGAAGATAGGAAAAGTTTTAATGGCCATAAATTCAAATTTTGAATTTTATATTTCCTTCCAACAAATATTTTGCAGCCTTGCAGAAATTGAAGCAGTTCACTGCCTAAGGCTTACGACGCCTATTTCCTCAAATCAACCACTGCCAAATCAAATCTCTTCTAAAGATTTCTTCTTTTTGAATTTTTCAAAAATTGTTTTTCCAAATTACTTTTATCTCCAATATTATCAAGAATATCTAAATCAACATAAATGTATTGGAGAATTTATTCAAGGTCATGAATGCAAAATCAAGTAGGGTACAAATGCATACCTAAATGACCTCGAAGCTTTTCAAAACGATCTGTATCCAAATTCGTAATAATATTTTTCTTCTGAATTTTCTTTGGCATCCACACCAATCTGACATTGTTATTTTGTCTGACTTCTTTGTTAGGCCAATGAACATACCTCGAATATCGGTAGTATATGCAGTCATAAAATTGTGATGACATCTGTCTAATATCCTGTGTCCTTCTCTGAATTTTCTCCCAATTTCTAGTTATGTTCCTTTTCGAGTTCTGCTTCACAATTAGGACTTGTTTTCTTTTTTGGAAAGTTGACCTAAATAAGAAAATTACGACAAACAAATGTATTTATTTTACTGTGATATGATTCCCAAAAATCCAATTCTTTGTGATATCTAAAGGATTTTCCAATGAAAAGGACTTCACCAAGTTTTTCCTTACTCTTTTTAAGTCTATCATTCCCTTGCTTCAGCTGCAAATCTTCAACCTACAATCCATTAACTTCATTAGATTTCACTAGTACATCTTCCTTGAAGTTTTTTTTATTTCAGCATCCAACTTCTTTTTTTGAGTTTCCAATTGATAAATGGTATCCAAAAGTTCTTAATTTTTAACCAATGATTTCTTTTGTTCAGCCACCATCTCCTCATAACTTCGATGAATTTATCAACATCAAGTTCTCTTGATTCTTCAGTAGCTTCAGAAGTAAAAGCATCATCATCCTTATTGGATTCATCTTCATTCACCATAAAAGCAACCGGTTCATCATTCTTTGAGTTTTCTTCGCCTCTAACAAAACTTGCATCATCATTATCACTCAATGTGGCTTGATAGACTCTGTTTTCTCTTTTTTACAGCTACACACTCAGATTTGATGGGTCCAACTCTACACATCTATAACAAGTAGGTGTTTAAGTTGTCTCAGGCTTAAAAGACACAATTAATTTTTTCTTGAATCCATTATCGAACTTTTCTTTTGGCATGTTCTAACTTGATGGTTTCCGCTTAGTGTACTTTTGTTGTGAGCTTGATGTATTTACATCATAATAACTACTTCTATTTCGGAACTTCTCATACTTCAGTTTGGCAGCCCTTTTCTTACTAATCATTCTTGAAAGTTTTCAACTCAGAAATGACATTTCTTCAACTGATTCAACCAGTTGCATGTCTCCCAAACTTAATTCCATAATTTTGGGAATCTTATTCTCAAGATGATTCATTTTATACCTGACCAAAGCACCATGCAAATTACCAAAAGTCATTCTTCTCAATTTTTTGGTTTATTGAACATAATCACTTTTGGCTTAAAATTCTTTGTAAATATTCTGGGCATTTTCCTCACCAAATCTCTTTCTTAAAAATGCATCCCAAAAGCTTCATGTTGAATAAAGAAATCCTTAAAATGATTTTAACATTATGAAACTATCTTGTCTTCATTCATTTTCATCCCTTCGAACATTATTTCGACATGCTCCAGTTTTGATTCTCTAACTTGAATAAAACTGTTAAATGCATTCGCCAAAATATCTCGTGCTCCCTTAGAAATCTTACAGTTAGATTTAGGTTTGGATTAATTCTCATTGACAACATTTAAAATGGAATAAATTGCCTTCAAATTTTCAATTCCATCAACCTTTTCATTCAAGGTCCATTCTCACTTTGGCTTTTTCGCAAAGATGGGAATATAACCTTTTCCTTGGATGGTCTTTATAGGATGAGATCATGCAAACTCAAAAGCTTCAGAAAAATCCTCTCCTTAAGACATAAGAAATACTTCCATTATGTTATTCCAACTCCTATAATTTGTGCCATCGAACAATAAAGATCAAGTTTTTGAACCACCTTCTTTATGTATTTTCAGAACTGTGAGATGATCTACTCAATAATTTATCAGACACCGCTCTTCTACTAGCTGTCAGAAAGTGGGCTCGATCATATATCCTACGAACACGAAAATAGGGGCCAACTTCCGAAAGAGTGGTTAACTCACAGTTATAACAACTCCTTGCCAACTAAATCAACACTGAACTCCAAAGTAATAAATGAGATAGGTTATAAATCAACCTATATTTGGGGGATCCCAATCCAGTACGAGTTCTACTATGATCAATCTTGATTATAAAACAAAAAAAAACAAAAACTCTTTCAACCAATTCCTCTACAATGGCTAACCTTGGAATACCATTAGAGGCTCTGGTTGTGACACACGCGTATTGACAACAGTCACAGAGTAAGGTAGTGCAGGGTTTGGTCATCTTCTCTGGTTAAAACTCCGATAAGTCCACTCTCCGATGACTTCTCCGTCAAGTTTCAGTGTAAAACACACATTTAAAATATAGAGATAGAGAGGGACAGAGGTAAGAGCTTCAAACAATACTTTCTCTCTATAATACACTCTCAAACACACTTACTACCATTATTTCAGCCTATCCGGATTGTATATACAACTACTAAAAAATGGTTTGAAAAAATCCTTAATTAATTTTCCTTTGCACTAAAATGGAGTGTTATGTGTCTCAATGATTGTGACACGCTTTGATATTCTCTAAAATCTCAATTTGTCTCTTGTATTATCTTGAACGAAGAGCCAAATATAATAGAGACAAACAAACCGGTCCTACTATGCAGTTGTAGTTATGGTCTGTCTGCAACATTTTTACACGAAATAAAATGAAGAAACAGCTGCATGGAATGATGAAATTTGTCCATACGCAAAA